ACTTAGAGGGACAAAAAGTCTAATGGACAAAAGGTCGAGTTGAACTTAGAAGGACAAAAAGTCGAATGGACAAAAGGTTGAATTGAACATAAATCGACAAAGGGTCGAATGGACAAAAGATCGAATTGAACTTAGAAGGACAAAAAGTCGAATGCACAGAAGGTCGAATTTAAATTAAAGGGATAAAAGGTCGAATTTAACATAGAGGTACATAAGCTTGAACTTAACAAAAGGTGGAATTCCGGAGTGATTTGAGATTTGGGCGTAATTGCTTTTGTAAACAAACGCGTTTCTTTTTTTTTTTTTTTTTCTTCGCTTTTCAAGCTTATTGCATATCGCAAATTAGCTTATTGCGTGTTCTCAACTTAGTGTTCTAGATGCACTTCCACAGTTATTAATTGAGAGCTTTCGATGCCTGTACCATTTTTGCATTGGTATAATTGTGTGGCAAGTCCAATCATACTTCTATGCCCAGGGAAGTCGAGAAATTTTCCAACCCGAAAAATTCCTAGACCGGACCGGGAATTGAACCCAGCCACCTCCAGCATGGTCTTGCTTTGTAGCTGCGCCTTTGCCGACTGAGCTAAGGGAGACCCCAAACGCGTCAATCACTGATTTCTCTCGAAAAAAAAAGCTCAATCTCGTAAACATACTATACCAAATGACATAGCGATCAATACTCTACCTGTTAGTGTTATTAGTTTTTGATATTGAGGTTTTATTCGTGAGAAATCGGTGATTTTGAGTTTGTTTACAAATGTAATTACGCCCAAATCTCAAATCACTCCGGAATTGAACTTAGAGGCTCAAAAAGTCGAATCGACAGAAGGTCGAATTGAAATTTGAGGGACAAAATATCGAATGGAAAAACGTTCGAATTTAACTTAGAGGGACAAAAGGTTGAAAGGAAAACAAGCCGAATGGAAAAAAAGGTCGAATTTAACATAGAGGGACACAATTTCGAATGCACAAATGTTGGAACTGAACTTAGGACTGACAAAAGGTCGAATTTGATTTAGAGGGACAAAAGGTCAAATGGACAAATGTTCGAATTGAACTTATAGGAATAAAAGGTCGAAGGGACGAAAAATCAAATTGCACTTAGAGGGAGAAAAGGTTGAATTGAACTTGGAGGGACAAAAGGTTGAATTTTAATATAGAGAGGCAAAATGACGAACTGAACTTAGAGGGACAAAAGGTCGAACGAACAAAAGTTCGAATTGAGCTTAGGGGACAAAAGGTCAAGTTGTACATACATGGATAAAAGATCGAAGGGACAAAAGGTCGAATTTTACATAGAGGGTCAAAAGGTCGAAGGGACAGAAAGTAGAATGGACAGAAGGTCGAATTTAAATTAGAGGGACAAAAGGACGAATGTACTAAACGTCGAATTTAAAATAAAAGGACAAAAGATCGAATGGACAAATGTTCGAATTGAACTTAAAAGTTGAATTAAACTTAGAGGGACAAAAGGTCGAAGGAACAAAATGGTGAATAGACAAAAGGTTGAATTGAAATTATAGGAACTAAAGATCGAATTAAACTTAGAGGGACAAAAGGTCGAAGGAACAAAATGTTGAATAGACACAAGGTCGAATTTAAATTAGAGGGACAAAAGGACGAATTTACTAAAGGTTGAATTTAAAATAAAAGGACAAAAGATCGAATAGACGAATGTTCAAATTGAACTTAAAAGTTGAATTAAACTTAGAAGGACAAAAGGTCCAAGGGACAAAAAGTCGAATGGACGGAAGGTCGAATCGAAATGAGAGAGACAAAAGGTCCAAGGGACAAAAAGTTGAATGGACAGAAGGTCGAATCGAAATTAGGGACTGTTCATATACTACGTAGACAGTTTAGGGGAGGGGGGTGTTGACAATTATCCACGGCCCATACAAATGTAAAAAAAAAATTGAATGGACAATTGTCTACGCAGGGGGAGGGGGGATCCTAAAAAAACCGTCTACGTAGTTAATGAACAGCCCCTTAGAGGGACAAAAAATCAAATTGAACTTAAAAGAATAAATGTTTGAATTGAACTTATAGGGATAAAAGGTCGAATTGAACTTAAAGGACAAAGGGTAAAATCGACAAAAGGTCTAATTGAACTTAGAGGGACAAAATGTCGAGTTGACAAAAAATCGAATGGACAGAAAGTCGAATCTAACATAGAGGGACAAGCGGTCAAATGGACAAATGTTCGAATTGGTCGAATTTAACTAGGGGGACAAAAAGTCGAAATGAAATTAGAGGGACAAAATGTCGAATTAACAACAGGTTGAATTGAAATTAGATGGAAAAAGGTTGAATGAATAAATGTTCGAATTGAACTTATAGGGACGAAAGGATAAATGGACAAAAGGTTGAATTGAACTTAGAGGGACAAAAGGTCGAAGGAACAAAATGTTGAATGGACAGAAAGTCGAATTGAAATTAGAGGGACAAAAGGACGAATGGACAAAAGGTCGAATTTAACTTAAAGAGACTAAAGGTCAAATTGAACTTAGAAGGACAAAAGGTCGAAGAGACAAAAAGTCAAATTTAACATAGAGGCACAAAAGCTCGAATGGACAAATGGTCAAAATTTTGTCGAAGTGGACATATGTTCAGAAAACCAACATCACAATTTATAAAATATTGTTAAGAAAATTTACGCTCAGAGTTTAAAAGACCTTAAAAAAAATACTCCCAAAGAACTGCTCATGGTTAAAAAAGGAATATATTCTAGAGAAATGCAGTTATTTATCTCTTAAATTGCAGTAACACGCTTAGTAACTATTTGTTACCTTAATTGAAAAATATTGAGCCACCCATTTATCCTTCAACAATGTGGCCAGTTCAGACCATTTCTAGATAGAGCTGGAATTAAGCGTAACAGCTTTGGTAAAACAATGACTTCTCTCGATGATTTCTACAAAATCAAGGCTCGCCCACGCACATCAACACCACCATCGGGTAGAGGAAGACTTCCTCTACCCCATAGTTGTATTGGATTGCGTGGACGTATCTTGAATTCCTAGAAATCTACGAGAGAAGTCATTGTTTACCAAAGCTGTTACGCTTAATTCCAGCTCTATCTAGATTTGTCCATTCGACCTTTTGTCCTTCTACTTTTTGCGATTCGACTTTTTGACCTTCGTCCTTTTGTCCTACAACGCCCATGACCCTGTCTTAGTACTTTCTCTGGTATTCCCTTAATATTTGCTTAGTAGTACTCTTGGAATCCTTCTTCGAATACTCCTAAAAATTTTCTTGGAATTTTCCTCGGCATTTCCTTCTTCTCATAATTCCTTTGGAGTACTCCTTAGATTTCTTTATTAAAGAGACTTTCAGCCGTGGGCTGGTTCGTCTCTGTTCGATCGCACCATCGGCACCGGGCTCTACTGCATTTGAATATACAAAGCACACAGCTATAAATGCCCCCCGGCCAGATGGTAGCCAAGCCCGCCATACTACATAAATAATACCACGGTATGGCGGGCTTTGCTACCATATGGCCGGGGGGCATTTATAGCTGTTTGCTTTGCATATTCAAATGCAGTAGAGCCCGGCGCCGATGGTGCGATCGAACAGTCTCTGAAAACCCCACAAAGCGGTTTCCCTAGTTAGAAAGGCTGGGAATTGCTGAAGGGAGCTCGCCGATTTATAGAGTTTGAGTCCCAGACGGGGTTCCCCTTAATACAGAGTGGTTCTTTTACAGACTTTGAAGAGTTGATTTGCTGTCACAGTTATACTCCTTAAAACTGTCCTGGAATTATTCTCAAAACATTTCCATCGAGTTCTCCTCAGAATTATCCCGGAATTTTACACAGAACTGCCTTGGAACTAGCCTTAGAACATATTTGGGGTACTTTCAATTAATTGTAATTAGAATTCCCCTCATAGTTATCTTGGAATTCTAGTTCCGTTGAAGTTCTCTTCAGACTTTTTTTCTAAATTCTCCTAAACATTCACAATGACCATTCTTCAAATTCCCTTGGAATGATTATAGAATTCTCCTCAGGAAGATAAAATGATAAAGGACGGCTTGTGCAAAAACATTACCTATTATCGTCAGGGGGTCATTGAGCGCTCTTTTTTTGCATGAAGATTTATCATCTTCCAGAGTCTCGTTTCGTTAAAATTAAGCGATGATATACTTTGATTACCCCCTGCCGATAATAGATAGAGGTATCATCGAGGTCGTCATTTACCCTACCTCAGAATTCCCCATAGAATTAAATTGATACACTCTCCTCCCTATTTCCCTAGATTTATTCTTAGGTTACACCAGGAATCAGAATGTTTTTAGAATCTAGGTTGGAAGCAACCTTTACAATTTTCTTGAAGCTATCTTTATAACTTTAGAATTATCCCTTGAATACCCTTTAAGGTGCGTCTAAAAATTCAGCAGAAATTCTCATGGAAATACTTATGATAAAACCACAAATTATGACTCCTTCCTGCAAGTTCAATAACAAGAAAATTTTCAAATCTATTCGTAATCTTAATTAATGGAAGTTCAAATTCGGCCCATTTTGGTCAATATCGATCATAAGCCTAAACAAATACATGAGTCTATAAGTCAACAAAACTTGAAATTTTAGCGAATTTGAAATGCTTTTCAGATCTAAAAGATTTAAAAAAATAATCTAAAAAGAACTTGGATAATTTGCTGTACTTTAACTGCCAATAAAAGCATAATTGTCCCATCTTTGCTTGGGCAGTTAAGGGGGTCCATAAACGAATAAGACATGTTGAAAGATGCAAAGCTTTTTAAATGATTTCAAGTTCATTTCAGTCTCCAATCTTTGAAAACATTAAATCTTTTAAAAATTACCATGCTTCCGAAATGAATAAGAATTCTTATTCTTTATTTTCTGCCCATAATGCCTTCCATTTCCTGCCCTTCTCCTTCGACCCGTGACCCACCAAGCAAACCTCACTTTATACATTTATAGCAGGCCAGAAACACCCACGTTCTAAACTCAGTTCTTCTCTCTTTCCCTTCGAACGTGCAGAAAAAAAGCCGCGATGAAAGCAAAGGCGCCGGAAGTGGAGTGGAAATCATCGTCAACGAACCGTACCAGGACGGCCCCGGTGGCAGCGGACAGTACACGAGGAAAATCTATCACGTGGGCAGTCACCTGCCCGGGTGGATTAAGGGCCTGCTTCCGAAGAGTGCCCTCACCGTGGAGGAGGAAGCCTGGAATGCCTATCCGTACACGAAAACCCGCTACACCTGTCCGTTCGTGGAGAAATTTTCCCTCGAGATTGAAACGTACTACTTTCCCGATAACGGCCACCAGGAGAACGTGTTCAAGCTCAGCGGAAGTGACTTGCGGAATCGGTTGGTCGATGTCATCGATATCGTTAAGGATCAGCTTTACGGGGCGGACTACACCCAGAAGGAAGATCCCACGATGTACTGCTCGGAGAAGACCGCCAGGGGACCGCTGGGGGAAAACTGGCTGGCCGAGTACTGGGACGAGGTGCGAGACAAGAGTCAACCGACGGCGCGGAACATGTCGCTGATGTGTGCCTACAAGCTATGCCGGGTCGAGTTCCGATACTGGGGCATGCAGACGAAGTTGGAAAAGTTCATCCACGATGTGGCGCTGCGAAAAACCATGGTCCGAGCCCATCGACAAGCTTGGGCTTGGCAGGACGAATGGCACGGGTTGACCATGGATGACATTCGTGAAATCGAACGGCAAACGCAACTTGCCCTGCAGAAGAAGATGGGCAACGAGGACGACGAGGATGAAGGTAAGTCATCGCTCGCAATTGGATCGATCAAACTGCATATTAACACTCCTTGTTCTTCCTTTTTTAGATCCAAATGCATCGGACAACAACAGCCGTCAGTCGAATCAATTCAATTCGATCGAAAAAACCGAAGAGAACTCGACGCCTCAGGTGATGAAGAAACCGACGATAGCGCCACCGTCGCCACCACCGACGCAAAGGCACATTCAGTTCGGTGGCTGCCAGATTCCGATCCTGCAGCAACCTCCCAAGGTTAAGAAGACCCCGGTGGTGGTGGACGACAGCTCCGACGAGGAGGAAGACGACGATGACGAGGAAGACGATGATGAAGACGAGATGAATCTGAACAGTCAGCGAAGCAACCATCTGACCACCGGTGGTCAGTCGACGGGTAAACACTTTGCCGGCGGATCCAAGGGACAACTGCACTCGCCGCTGGGCTCGGTGCACAGTTTCGATCTGCAGGTGGGTGTTTGTTTTCGGTTGTTGCCATTTGTCAATCTGTATCGAAGTTTTACCGGCGCAGAAATTTTATTGGTTGTTAGCATGTTGTATTGAACGTTATATCGGCACTTAAATCAGATAAAGACCATGATAGTTTTCCAGTCCAGTCCCAAAATAGCCCAATGCTAGCCAAAAAAGATGATGTGGTCTCTCTTCTGGATTGGAGAGCTCGAAACGAACTAGATAAAAAATGTATTTATGTGAAGAGATACAGACGATGTTTTTTATAGTATGCTCATGATGCTTCAAGAGTCTGTCTATATTTGCAAAATAAGGTTTTCAGATAAATTAAAAAAAAAAAGTATTCTAGGTAATACTTTTGTTTTAGTATTCAGACGGATGGTGTCGTCGGTGGAGTTTTTGTGCTTAAGAAATACCTTCTTTTGGTACTGGTCAACATTAGGGTGGCCCTTAAATGAATAGATATTCAAAAACTAACTTTTTTTTATTTTTGAAAATTAAGGCATATAACTTTTAGTAAAGTTTGTAACTGAGTTGATTTCAAGCAACTTTGTAGAAAAACGTTTCTTTTATCTCCTAACGTTCTCATTTTAGAGTAATTTTTAAAAATTTAATTAGGAATAATTTAGTTTTCTTGGAGAGACTTTAGAAGCATCATGAGAGGCATTGAAAGTTAAATCGGCAATTGAATCAGATAAAGACCATGTTAGTTTTAATCCAGTTCCAAAATATTATCGATAACTGTTCACGCATAGCATATTATTGAACTTGCCACACAATTATACCACAAACGAAGTTACAGACGACTTTCTCCGAAGAAATTAATTAAAATAAGGTGGTTCTCTGTAATAGAATTTTAGACCACTTTCCGCCGCTCACCGCCAGGTTCGCTAGTATTTTTGATTTGAATTAATTCAAGTTGGTTTTGTGTGCAATGATCTGGCAACTCGCGTTCTCGCTCGCGTTGACGGGGTGCTGTTTTCTCACTCATCGAAGGAAATTTTGATTAGAGTGAGAAAGTAAGGAACAGTCAGCGCGGGAACCGTGTGCGGTACTATAGGTGCGGCAGAAAGAATGTAGTCGACTCCTTCGTTCTCACGGTGTTCTTACGCATGATCCAACGTTACGTCACACTAGATTATGCATAAGAACGTCGTGAGCAAAGTTTGTATGTTTGGGAGCCTCTTGCATTCAACTCGCATTCGTCCTCGAGTTCGTGTGGAAGCCATTCAGAGCGGAGGTGGAGTTGGATCGAAAATTTTCGCCTGCATGACCGAGGGCAGATTGGCATAAATGGGAAGGATGAGTAGTTCCTTGAGTTTGGAACCCAACCGCTTGACGCGATCCTGGAGCATCTCCTGGCAGGCTTCGATTTCCTCTTGTCCTGGAACGAAAAAAAAATGTAATTTTTTAACATCGCATAGAAATAGACCCACTTACCAGTTAAAAATACAAGAATGTCTCCCAAGAGGCTGAGTGGCATGAATCTGTAGAACCGACACCACACATGCATCGATATAATCTGCTTCCGGTGCTTTGGTGTAGAAGACATCAACCTAGAAGAGAAAAAGTTAGATTTTACAGCAAAACACAAAGCAAGTCAAATCTAACTACGTACCGGAAAACGACGACCAGGAATACGGAATATGTTCGCATCATCGAAGAAATCCGAAAACTTTTCCGCATCCAACGTGGCACTGGAAATCAGTAGTTTCAAATCCAACCGAAACCGCGCAATGTCCTTCACCAATCCAAACAGAATGTCCGTGTGCAACGTACGCTCGTGAGCTTCATCGATAATCATCACACTATACGAAGCTAGGTCCGGTTCCGAAAGAAACTCCCTGTGCAACGTACCATCTGTCATGTATTTAATGACAGTCCTCTCGGATGTGCAATCCTCGAAACGAATACTATAACCAACTTCGTTGCCCAACTTGACGCCCATTTCCTGTGCAACACGTGCCGCCACGGACATCGCTGCCACGCGACGAGGCTGAGTACATCCAATCTTCTTGCCGTCGTTTGTAAACCCAGCTTCATAGAGATACTGTGGAATCTGTGTCGTTTTTCCCGAACCCGTTTCTCCTTCGATAATAAGAATCTGGTCTTCTTTTATAGCGGCTATGAGATCCTCCTTGAATGGAAAAACTGGAAGTGATTTCTTCGTTTCCTCAATGTCCATCTTCTTCCTTTCCGCCTCAGATACCGGTGCTTTCCGGTCCTTTTCTTTAGTTCCATCCAGTCGGAGTGCCTGGACGAAATCAATCTGATCATCCAACAGCAGTTCATACTCTTCAGCACCAGCACCACTTGCGAACCTCTTCGTTTTTGAAAGTAAATTTCACGCACAGTCTGACGTTTGCTTACGGATTTTACCATAGGAGTAAAGAGCTATAGATTCGCCGTCAAGGCCAATTGGCGTTGACGGCGACTCTGTAGCTCTTTACTCCTATGAGAAAATCCATAAGTAAACGTCAGACTGTGCGTGAAACATGGCGGACTTTGTACTATCCTTTCACTCCACCGAAAATTCCCATAAGAAACTGTCTATATTTGCTGAAAGAGCAAATTTTTCGACGGTGCCGTCAACGCCAATAGCATCAACTATATACTTTAAGCTAGTACATATGAGTAGATAGTGTTGCCGTGAGGTACACTGAAAAATTGAAATAGCAGGTTAGTCACCAAAGTTTTCGAGCCGCTCCGTCTGTCACTTCGTTTGTGATTATACTAATGCAAAAATGGTACAGGCATCGAAAGTACTCCTTTAATAACTGTGGAAGTGTATCTAGAATACTTAGTTGAGAGCACAGAATAAGCTAATATGCGATAAGCAATTAGCTTAAAATGGGTAGAAGAAGAAGAGGTAGACGAAGGTTCCTACTTCTACAAAGTTTCCTTAATTCAATTCCATGAACTCAAATAAGACTCCCTGAACTGCTTCTCAAATAACATCAAGGATTTTCGCTACGAACCGGAAAGCAACATAACTTTTGCTGCTTGGTACACTCGATACGATGAGCTATTCGAGAAGGACGCAGCTCGATTAGACGAGCAAGCGAAAGTGCGACTGCTGCTTCGGAAGCTGGGACCGATTGAACACGAAAGGTACGTGAGCTTCATTCTTCCCAAGCTTCCCAAAGATTTTTCCTTCTCCCAGACGGTCGAGAAGATGAAAAATTTGTTCGGTGCAAAGGAGTCGGTGATCAGTCGGCGATACAGATGTTTGCAGATTTCCCGGTATCCGACCGAAGACCATATTGCGTACGCCTGCCGAATCAACAAAGCTTGTGTGGAGTTCGAGCTCGGTAAGTTGTCGGAGGAGCAATTTAAGTGCTTGATATACGTGTGCGGGTTGAAATCGGAGAGTGATGCCGAAATAGTGAATGCAAACCAGATTCACCGTGTTGGTTTTATGGCGGACTACATTATGTTCGCAACTGCGGCTACAAGCAGCACAAGTGTTCCGAATGTGGTCAATTTGGACATCGAGAAGGCTATTGTAGTAGTGCGAACAAAGCACGCCAGCCTACGATGAGGAGAAGAAAGAAGCATTCGGTGGATAGCAAGGTGGTAATCGTCGACGTATGCAGCGTGCAGCAACGACGGAGGTTCGTGCCCGTAAGTATATGCGGGACGTCGATTCAGCTGCAACTCGATACCGCTTCGGACATCACGGTCATCAGCAAGCAAATTTGGGACAAGATCGGAAGTCCGGAGCTGGTTCCATCGACGGTCAAGGCGAAGACCGCTTCTGGTAATACCTTGCTGCTTGAAGGCGAGTTCGTGTGCAACGTTACCATCGGTGAAACAACACGAAATGGTGTGATTCGAGTGACGGAGAAACCACTGCAGCTTCTCGGATCCGACTTCGTGGACAGCTTCGATCTCTGGTCAGTACCGATGGACAATTTTTGCTGCAATAGTTCTGCCTCACCAGCATCCTTGTCGACTCTCAAGTCAACCTTCCCGAAGGTGTTCAGCTTACACTCGGGTTGTGCATCAAAACGGCCGTTAAGTTCGAACTGAAAACAAGCTGTAAACCCGTGTTTTGTTCCAAACGGCCCATTGCATATGCAATGTACGATGCCGTTAACCAGGAATTGGATAGATTGGAGAAGCTGAAGATCATTTCGCCAATCGATTACTCGGAATGGGCTGCTCCTATAGTTGTCGTGCGCAAGGCGAATGGGGCAATTAGGATCTGCGGAGATTACTCGACAGGCTTGAACTCCGCTCTTCAATCGAACCAGTACCCGTTGCCTCTACCGGAAGATATATTTGCCAAGCTAGCGAACTGCCAAGTGTTCAGTCAGATTGATCTTTCGGACGCTTTCCTGCAGGTACCGGTCGATGAAAAATTTCGGAGTCTACTTACTATCAACACGCACCGTGGACTCTACCTCTACAACCGCCTTCCGCCGGGTGTGAAAATTGCTCCTGGAGTTTTCCAGCAACTCATCGACACGATGCTAGCTGATCTACCAGGAACATCCGGTTATCTTGATGACGTTGTTGTGGGCGGTGAAAACCAGCAAGAGCACGTCCGCAATCTCCGAGCCGTTCTTCAGCGAATTCAAGACTTCGGATTTACGATCAGAGCTGAGAAGTGTTCATTTGGAAAGCGACAAATTCGTTATCTTGGACACATCATCGACGCTAGCGGACTTCGACCGGATCCAGCAAAAGTTGAAGCGATTATAAGCTTCCTCCTCCTTCCGACGTATCTGGTGTACGCTTCTTCCTTGGCGCGATTAACTATTATGGCAAGTTCGTGTCTAATATGCGAGCGCTCCGCTATCCCCTTGATAACCTCCTCAAAACAGAATCGAAGTTTGATTGGAATACGGAGTGTCAACAGGCGTTCGACCGATTCCAGCAGATTCTTACTTCGGACCTACTGCTTACACACTTCAATCCGAAGAAGGAGATCATCGTGTCCGCCGATGCTTCATCAGTCGGTCTCGGGGCCACAATCAGCCATCAATTCTCCGATGGCTCCATCAAGGTGGTGCAGCACGCCTCGAGAGCACTCACCAAGGCGGAGCAGAACTATAGTCAGCCTGATAGAGAAGGTCTAGCTATCATCTTCGCAGTTACGAAGTTTCACAAAATGATCTTTGGTCGGCGCTTCCGCCTTCAAACCGACCACGCTCCATTGGTTCGAATCTTCGGCTCCAAGAAAGGTATCCCGGTGTATACGGCTAACCGGTTGCAACGTTTTGCCCTCACGTTACTTCTGTACGACTTTGACATCGAGTACGTTCCGACTGAAAAGTTCGGCCATGCCGACCTACTGTCCCGACTAATTAGCCAACATGCGAAGCCAGAAGAGGATTATATCATCGCTAGCGTTACACTGGAGGAAGATGTCAGGTCAGTAGCCGCGGATTCACTTAATGTTCGTCCCCTTAATTTCAGAGTCGTCGCGCAAAGCACCCAGGCCGATCCACTGCTACGCAAGGTCTACCGATACATCCAAAACGGCTGGCCGCAATCTAAGCAAGTCGAACCGGAGATCAAATGATTCCACGCCAGACTGGAATCCTTCACCGTAGTGGATGGGTGCATTCTGTTTGCCGAACGACTCGTAATTCCATCGAAACACCAAAAACGATGCTTGGACTAGCTTCATCGAGGCCATCCGGGTATGCAGCGGATGAAAGCGATTGCCAGGAGCTACGTGTACTGGCCGTCACTCGACGAAGACATCGTTGGTTACGTCAAGGCCTGTGCGCAGTGTGCGTCCGTTGCGAAGTCTCCTCCTCATGCTACACCGATGCCGTGGCCGAAAACAGTTGACCCACGGCAACGCGTTCACATCGATTACGCCGGACCAATCGATGGTGACTACTTCTTAATCGTCGTCGACTCTTACTCCAAATGGCCTGAGATTGTCAAAACGCGCAGCATTACATCGATATCCACAATTGCCATCTTGCGTGGACTCTTCGCTCGACTGGGGATGCCGGTAACACTGGTCTCGGACAACGGAACACAATTCACCAGTGCAGAGTTTGGCAAATTCTGTGTTACGAACGGCATCGAGCACCTCACGACAGCCCCGTTCCATCCACAATCAAACGGACAAGCAGAGCGTTTCGTGGATACATTCAAAAGGGCCGTCAAGAAGATCCGAGAGGGAAGAAGAACAATGGATGAAGCAATCGATACGTTTCTCCTCACGTACAGGAGCACGCCAAATCACTCTGTACCAGAAAACAAGACGCCGTCAGAGGCTATGTTCGGCCGTAAAATCCGAACCAGCCTTGAGTTGTTACGCCCGCCTCCCGCGCCCATGGCAGTTCCAGAAGAGCAGAAAGAACAGCAGCGACGATCGTTCAACCGCGACGATGCTGTCTACGCCAAGGTCTACACCAAAAACACCTGGAAATGGGTACCTGGCATAGTTCTCGAGCGAATCGGTAACGTAATGTATAACGTGTGGACCGATGCTCGGATGCTGCGCTCGCACGTCAACCAGTTGCGTAGTCGAAATTCCACGAGTTCGAATGCCAAGTTACCAGTCAGACAAGCCGTGAGCTCACACAGTTCATTTCCGTTGAACGTCCTGATGTCTGCCTGGAACCTACCTCAGTCACCGTCGTCGCTTGCACTGGACGAGCCCGTCCAATCATCATCATCGCAAGCCTCAGCATTAGAGTGATGCAAAATTTGAAATTTTTGCTCCACAATACTTAAACGATTCCAAATCGGATCTTGACTAACATCTCAAAATTTGAACCCATTTGGTGAGAAACTGAGATCGCACAAACCATTTGAAGTTTGTATGGGAATTACTATGGTAAAACCTGGATTTTTGTTCATGTCTATTTAATAATTCACCATATCGGTCTGCTTCAAAAGCTTTCAACTGTACTTGTAGAAAAATTTCCCAGCTACAACTTTGCTCAAGATCACTTTTTAATTAAATGCAAGAATCGAAAGTTATCAATGGTTCAATGCGCTGATGTCTTATGATCATACTCAATCAACTGCTCAGCAGGCAACATTGGTGTTTCTGAGGCGTTGAATAGGACACAAAAATCATGGCTACTATGTCACACTGCAAAATACAGTGTTGCCTACAGAGCAGCTGCTTGATCATGTCATAAGTTTACCAATCTCTTAAATAATTAATAACTTTTTCCTGTCTCGTTTTACATAGAAACGATCTTCAGCAAAGTTGTAGCTGAGAAAATTTTCTATAATAATTGCGATCGAACTTTTTCGCAGCTCAATATGGAAAAAGACTAGAAGACAATGAACAAAAAATTGAGATTTCCTATAGTAATTTACATGTAAACTTAAAATGGCTTGTGCGAAGTCTGTTTCTAACCAAATGAGTTGTAACTTTGAGAGGCTAATCAGGACCCAGTTTGAAACCATTTAAGCACTGTGGAGCGAAAAAGTCAAATTTTGCATCAGTCTACTCAGCATCAACTACGAATCCGATGACGCCTCAATCAATGCCGCCGTCACCGAGATGTAGTTCACCAGCGACCACGAGTACATCGATGTCGTCAAGCAGCTGAAACCGAACCGGTAGAAGTTCTACCTCGGCGCTCTTCCCGTCTTCGAAGGCAGCCTCGATGGTTTGACCCCTACTAGCTCTATTAAGAGGGGAGATGTTGCAGACAACGAAAATGGATAAAAAAAGAAAAAAGAGATGGATAAAGGGCATCATTATGAATTTAAATCCAAGGTTGCAGAACATATCGTTAAAAAGGGGCACAATTTGACTAAGGAAAACATTAATATCCTGCGGACTGTATCTTCACCTTGGAAACTAGACGTAGCCGAAAGTCTAGAAATATTTAAACATAATCCATCAACATTGCTTAATAGAGATCAAGGAAACGGATACTCGAGACTCTTTAGCATGCTACCTAAAACAACACATCGTAGCATGCCTCTACCTGTTGGAGACTGAATTTAGGTACCTGTTTAGGTAAATTTTGACATGGCAGTGGATACCTGCTGATTTTTAGTACCTATTGATTAGTATATAACTCGTAGATTAAAGATGGATTCTTCAGTGGTGTTGAGTACTTGGCACTGATGAAGTCTGCAAGTAGTAGACGAAATACGCGTATCTGTCAAAAGATAAGCAATTATAACGGAATTAAAAGGAAATATACCAACCCACTCAAAGCTCTTCATAACGAAAATGGATTTGGCAACACTGCCAGTTGCCCTATCTTTATCGCAGGTCTCACCGACGGCATCAACATAGCTGCCACTCGTGTGAAGCAACAGAAAGAGCAAAACAATAACATTATGTTGTCAAGCAAGTTAGAATGTTTTTAGATTGTTTTGTGTCGCGTGACTGTTTTTAGTAGTGCCGTAATAAATTAGTATTTATAGTTACGTGCGCGTTTTATTTCCTGCCCCTGATGACGGGATAAGTGCCACCTTAGTGCGACGGTCTCGCGACATAAAACAACGTTTTATGTATTTTTAAGCCATTCGGCATCGAAAAAATAGGTTCGGCTCTCAAAATTGCATGAACCGGGGGGGTCCTTGGGAAATTTTCGGAAGTGAAAAAGGTCAAACTTCGACCGCTTTGCGATTGAGCTCAAATTTAACGCTCGTTTTTTCGAGGCAATAAACATTTTGTGGGGGTATCTTTTTGAAATTTGATGGTCATTTCTTCTCCACACGCACCCTAATGAACAGCCTGCTTTGCACAGAAAATGATCATTTTCAAACCCCTCGTAGTAGAGTTCTTCCTCTCCGGCTGGCGAAATGATGAACCCTTCTGATAGCAGATAAAATCCTCTGTTAAGAAAAACCTTATTACTTTAAAATGATCAGAAAAAAATGCACTTTTCAGTATGTAGCGTTAAAACATTGACAACTTAAATATGATTTTCACTTCTCACTCTATTCCTGTCTCTTTCTATCTTTCTGGGTCTCGTTTTCATTTTTGTCCACTTCTACAACCAACCAAAACAAAATCACCCAAAAACCAGATTGCAAACCACACACTAGTACAAAAGAATGTAAGTTTCGTTTCCTCTTTGTTGTTATCTATGTACTTGTCTTTTCAACTTTCCCATTTTTGTTTGTTTATTTGGCATGTAATTCTTCAATCTGTTTCTTTGTTTCAATTAGATATTTACTTTTCCTATTCTTGTTTTATGTTTCGAAATGTTTCACTTAAACTTTGAACTAATTCCCCTCCTTCCCTAACAAATCTTGCAGGTTGCCAATTGGCGAATGGAAAAGCTGGAAGTCGAATCCAAGTCCGGCTCCGAGGAGGAATTCTTCGACTGCCTAGGTAAGAAACGGTCCCCATCGGCATTTTTGCTTCCAATTCAATTTATCAACAATCTTACTCTACTCCATGGAATACTTATTTTAACAAACCGAAAATCTCCATTGTTGCATGCAAATAATTATTTCCGGCACACAACCTCCTCGCTCAAAGCACGTGGTATGTTTTCCGTTTTCTCCCATCGTTTGATGATTTCTCGTTTGTGTCACACTCAAACATGATGGTTTAAGCAAAGATGTGTAGATTCACCTAAATTTTTTGTCATTTGCCCCTCCCCGCAGGCGACATGGCCGAGCACGCATCCCTGGCCAAGTGGAGCTCGTTGGAGTTGCTGGCCGAGGAAGACGACAGCCCTCCGGTGCCCAGTGCCACCAGAAACCAAGAAGACTCCATCTTCAGTCACAGTTACCTGCAGCGAGTGGCCTCCGAGCGGGGCAGCCGTCGTCCAACGCTGGGCGCCTCCTCCAGTATAGAGCGAACCAATGGGGACTCGCCTCCCGGTTCCCCGGGGCAACGATCCTGCCCGACGACGGTGCTGGTGCTGATCATGCACGCCGGCAGTGTCCTGGATGCCACCTCGGACATGACGGCGAAAAAGTCCGACGTGACCACATTCCGAGGGGCGTTCGAGTCCGTGATGAGACAGCACTACCCTTCGCTGGTGGGACACGTGGCAATCCGGCTGGTTCCGTGCCCGTCCGTGTGCACCGATGCGCTCGGAATCCTGTCCAGCTTAAGCCCGTACTCGTTCGATGCTTCGCCTTCGACGTCGGACATTCCCAACCTGACGGATGTTCCGGTCGGGGCCATCCCGCTACTGACGACCTGTTCGCCCGATTTCCAGGACGCCGTGAACCGATCGGTCGCCAGTGCGAATATGGTATTTGCTGAATTCTTGAAGAGCGACGAAGGCAAAGGATTCAACGGACAGGTCGCATTAATCGGGGACTCGATGGGAGGTGTGCTGGCCCATGACGCGCTGGGCCGATGCAATGCGAGGCACGGAAGCGAAGCTTCCGGCTTGGATCACATCGTGGACTATGTCGAAGTGAATGACCTGGATGCAAACAAACTGCTGACGGCGCCTTCTCCCCGGAGAAGATCCTCGTCGACCAGTGATTCCCGGCTTCCCAAGTTCGACTTTGAGGTCGGAGACTTTTTCATGTTCGGAAGTCCACTAGCCGTTATCCTGGCAGCTCGACGATTGAGCGATTCCCGTTGTGGAACCAACAAACCATCCTGCTCGCAAATCTACAATCTATTCCACCCGACTGATCCCACCGCATCCCGGCTGGAACCGCTTCTGAGTGCTCGCTTTTCGATGCTTCCTCCCGTCAACGTTCCGCGCTATGCCAAATATCCACTCGGAAATGGTCAGCCGTACCACCTTCTGGAACTGATCCAGTCCAGTCCGCAGATCTTCAGCGACGGTCCACCGCCCAGGCGTCTCTCGGATGCTTCGATCCAAAGTACCATCTCCGGAATGATCGATAACGTCCCGCTGACAACGATCAACCAACTCCAACAGCGCTGGTGGGGATCCAAACGTCTGGACTACGCTCTCTACTGCCCGGACGGTCTGAGCAACTTCCCGGCTCACGCCCTCCCGCACCTGTTCCATGCAAGCTACTGGGAGTCCAGCGACGTGATCGCCTTCATCCTACGCCAGATAGGCCGTTTCGATAACTTGACCCTGGTCGGACCGGATGACAAGGAGATATCGTCCTTCCGGCCGGCACAAGCTCGGGAAAAGTGGAACAAAAAGCGAACCTCCGTCAAACTGAAAAACGTGACGGCCAACCACCGGGCGAACGACGTTATTGTCAAGGACGGCGAACCGCAGAAAATGGTCGCCCGGTTCATGTACGGCCCGCTGGACATGATCACCCTGGCGGGCGAAAAGGTCGACATCCACATCATGAAGGATCCCCCCGGAGGCGAATGGAATTTCATGGCAACGGAAATAACCGACAAAAATGGTCGAATTTCCTTCGTCCTGCCGGAGGAGCGGTCCCTCGGCTACGGAATCTATCCGGTGAAAATGGTTGTGCGAGGCGATCACACCTCGGTCGATTTCTACCTGGCGGTGGTTCCTCCGAGAACCGAGTGCGTCGTGTTCAGCATAGACGGGTCATTTACGGCTTCGGTCTCGGTAACCGGAAAGGATCCTAAAGTTCGAGCCGGTGCCGTTGACGTCTGCCGACACTGGCAAGAGCTGGGCTACCTGCTGATCTACATCACCGGAAGACCGGACATGCAACAGCAACGGGTAATGTCCTGGCTGAGCCAGCATAACTTCCCTCATGGATTGGTGTCGTTTGCGGACGGGCTGTCAACGGATCCGCTGGGGCACAAGGCGGCCTATTTGAACAATTTGATTCAAAATCACGGTGTGATTGTGCACCTGGCGTACGGCAGCAGTAAGGACATTAGCGTCTACACCAGCATCGGACTGAAGCCGAAGCAGATCTTCATCGTTGGAAAGGTAAGTCCGAACGACCCTTATTTTCTGGACCCTTAATCCTATTAACGGGCGATTCTATTTTAGGTGAGCAAAAAGCTGCAACCCTTGGCGACCCCGTTGAGCGAAGGCTACGCGTCGCATTTGACTTCCCTGATAACACCGGGTGGCTCCCGGCCGGCACAGGGCAACGCGCGGATGGTGATCCCACGGGGCTGCTTCAATCTACCCGGCCAGAACCAATCCATTCGCAGGCGAAGGTTTGTTCCCGGTTAATTGTAATGGCCGCAGCCTCCGTCGCAGCCGCCACTACATTCTGTCATTCCCCCCGTACTGTCATGACCACCACCACTACCACCACGCACGCCTCTATGTTTGTTCCCTTGAACCACGATTCCAGACACACGATTCCTCATCTCTATGTGTTATTGCCTACTGCCTCTACATGTGTTGTGCGTATAGTAGAAGTACATTGCACCCACCTCCACCACCAAATCCCCCAACAGAAAGCGATCTCACCAGCAGAAGGAATACAGCAATCAATCACGGTCACACCCACCCACCCATCAGACTAACAAAACTTGCAACAATTCCGAATGTGATGTGTGTCACTGATTGTCTCCACACCCCGTCTCCGAGTCCCATGTAATTTTACCAGCAATCTCTAAACAAACTCCCACCCCCCCATTCGAAACAAACAGCAATGAAGCGGGACTGGCCTCGCCGGCGCGCAGCGGATTTCTCAAACGGAAAACATATCTCCACTAAAAAAAAAATAATGGGAGAACCATCCGACTTCCGTGAGCGGCCTGCCGCTTCTACCTGTATTATGTACATCTCATCTCAACACGGCCACCATCCAACATTGCTTCTTTCACCGAGGATTCGTGGACTATCTGCTTCGATCAGTGGAACTATGGTTGGATTCTGTCACTTGGTAAGTATTTACTGTGTAATTTCGAGGGTAATCATAAACCGAGATATGTAATGCAGATCAAGTTGGATTAAGAGGAATGAAGGGGGGTCTTTGCAAATGCGAAAGGCCTATTATTATTTCTGTTGATATCGGCTTCTGATGGCATCGACGAGATCCAGTTATAAGGACACTGTTAGAGCACCACCCTAACAAGAATATACTCGTACACTAGATTTAGCATACAATTGAATTTCCGTCCTCTGTATCACACTACACAGTCGATCAATATATACAGCAACACACATTATATAAGCTTATCACTGCTTTCGGCTATCGAAGCAATGATCGATCGGAAAGGCCTTTTGCTAATCCGTTTGACATGTTGATTCTCCCAGCAGAGATCAGATCTCTGTGCTGGACCAACAGATCAGTCGAAATATACATCTCAATCCAAACGTACCTACATAAACGTCGTCCGCTTATATCTTACGATAACCGGGAGAGTGAAATAAATCTTAAGTAGTGTCGTTTTTGAACCGCGCGTTTTTTCCTATTGCTAACGGAAAGAAGTAGTGTTCGATTGCCACCGATTCTCGCGCCTTTGTCGACCCCGCTTAAATATACACCAAGCACGAATTATATACAGTGATGAGTCGGGGCCTCGGATGTCAGGGCTTGTATAACGCTGTGCGAATCCGTTAGGACCAAGATCGGTCGGTTAGAGAGCGTTGTAGCAGCGATGAAAATGGCAGCAGCTTCAGCAGAGAAGATAGAACATTGCGGCGGTAAGCTGCAGCTGGTTGGTGTGATGTTTCCGGCTGGACCGATACCGACCCTGGCCCGAGAGCGAGTGTTGAACGCCCAGGTTCAACTTACAGCATTTACTTCACTGCGAATGCCGATCAGGCAACACTTCCCATTTGACAGTTGTTCAGTTTCACTGTAAACCGAAGACGACAATAAAACTCATTCCTTCTTGTTTCGAGCTAGAGAACGCTAGTGTTTTATTATAACTCCGAGCCCCTGTTCCAAGAATTGTGTCTGCTTACAGGTTATGTGCTCAGCTTTGGGGCCAAAAGAAACAAGAAAGTGCGCGTAACGTATTCCGGATTTGAGGTTAATTCTTCGCGCAAGAAAATGGATTTTTCGAAAGTGAACGTTATCCGATTGAACAATCGGAATTATCGGTCGTGGTCGTTTAAAGTGCAGATGCTGATGAGGCGTGAGGGAACGTGGATCTACGTTGACCCGGGTGTACCGCCGAATCCAGTCACCGGAGAATGGCAAGAAAGTGGCTCGAAAGCAAGAGCAAACCATAGCGCTGCTGGTTGAGGACAACCAGCATAATCTCATTATGGCAAAAACGACAGCGAAAACTACGAGGGATGCGTTGAAGGCCCACCATCAAACGGCAACGCTAACGGGCAAAGTTTCGTTGCTGAAGGAGATTTGTAGTGCAAGCTTTAGAGAAGGTGAAAGTATGGAGCAGTTTCTTTACGAAATGGAGGAGCTCTATTCACGTTTGGAGAATGCCGGAGAGAGGCTGTCGGAATACATGCAAGTGGCAATGATCCTGCGAAGCCTTCCGAAAGCTTTCGACTCTCTCACTACTGCGCTAGAAAGTCGCTCGGATGAGGAGCTCACGATGGAGCTTGTCAAATCAAAACTCATCGATGAAAGTGAAAAGTTGTCGGAAGACAGAGTGCTAAAAGTCAGTAGCGATATGAAAACGGCTGTTGTGTGTTATTTCTGTGTTAAAGCTGGCCACAAAAAGTGGAGCTGCAAAGATTTTTTGGCACAGAAAAGCAGCGAAGAAAACGGCGGCAGGAAGAAGAAACTGCAGAAACCAGAGCAGAAAGTGAGACAAGTGCGCGAAAACGATGCAAAATCGTTCACGTTCATGGTGCGGGAAAACGTAAACAAGAATGCGCGTTCGTGGTTGGTCGATTCGGGTGCCACATCACATATGTGCGGTGACAAAATGGCTTTTATTCGTCTGGAAAGTTCGCGTTCGAGTGTAACCGTCGCGGATGGTAATAATATTCGCGTTGAGGGCATCGGTGATTACCTTATCGAGTATTTGAATGACGTCGGAGAATCGATCAAGCTTACGTTGCAAGGTGTTTTATATGTTCCCACTTTGGAGTGCAACATGATCTCGATAAGCAAGCTTACGTGCCGAATTCAATCGATCCTAATGTAGACTGGTGTACGCGAATACCGTCGTCGCGGTACGTGTTAAAATTGGTGACATGTACTGGTTGCGCGTTACTGCTGAAAAAGTGCTTAAAGCTGAAGGAAAACAGCACACGAAGAACTGCCAGCATTCGTGGCATCGTCGTTTGGGTCATCGAGATCCAGAAGTGCTGAACGAAATCAAGCGAAGCGAGTTACAGATATAGATGTAGTGGATTGCGGTATCCGTGTAACGTGTGAGTGTTGTATCGAGGGAAAAATGTCGCGTCCGTCGTTCCCGAAAGCCGCGCAAAAGATTTCGAAGAATGTGCTGGACATTATTCACACGGATGTATGCGAACCCATGGATGTAGCGACGCCAGGGGATTGTCGTTACTACATGACAATGATCGACGACCATAGCCGCTTCACATACGTCTATTTCTTAAAGGAGAAATCTGACGTACAAGAAAGAATCCGAGAATACGTCCGAATGGTCGACAATCAATGTGGTCGAAAACCTCGAATCATCCGGTCCGATCAAGGTGGCGAATATTCCAGCAATTCAAGCAAAATCTACAAAATCGTTTACCGTCAGCTGCTGTAGGACGAACACCGTATGAGATCTGGCATGGTAGAAAGGCAGACCTTAACCGCTTGCAACTTTTCGGATGTAGTGGTTACGTATTGGTTCCCTCCGTGAAACGCAAGAAGCTAGACGTCAAAGCCATTAAAATGACGTTTGTTGGCTACTCATTGGAACATAAAGCGTACCGAATGCTGGATACTCGTACCGGGGAAGTCAAGATCAGCCGTGACGTTCGATTTTTGGAATTTGGAGTTGGATCAAAGGAGGAGCAGTTGATTGAAAACCAACAGCAGTTAGTAAAACCGACTAGTCCTACTTGCACTGATAGCATCGAATGGAATATGCAGGATTTTTCCAAGCTACCGAATGTTCCAGAAGATACAGAATCAGAAGATTTCTACGGTTTTGGTAACGAGGATGACGAATCGCCTGAAGGATTGTTCGAAGGTCATGGCATCGATCTACTACGTGGTCTTTGGGAAAGCGATGACGAAGAGAATTCTGTAGTGAGTGAAGAACCACAATTGCAACAAGTGCGTCGTTCAAGGAAAGCAACGGCAGAGTGTATCTAGCGATGCAGAACATAGCAGAGCCAAGGTCATTTCGAGAAGCAGTGTCATGTCCGCAATGCGCTGAATGGAAATCTGCAATGGACGAAGAAATAATGTCACATCGTGAGAATGGAGCCTGGGAGTTAACGGAGCTTCCACTACATCGCAAGGCCATCGGTAGCAAGTGGATTTATAAATGCAAGGTTGATGAGAATGGTGAACTTGTGCGCTTCAAGGCACGCTTAGTAGCGCAAGGTTTCTGCCAAAAATACGGGTCTAATTATGACTTAGTATTTGCACCCGTGGTAAGACAGGTGACGTTCCGGGCGATGTTGACGTTAGCTAGTACGAGGAAAATGTTAACCAAACACGTCGACATAAAAACCGCCTACCTTTATGGGCAGCTTCAGGAGGAGATTTATATGCGGCAACCCCCTGGATACGAAAGCGCAAACAAGGACGAAGCTTGTCGACTACGACGCAGCTTGTACGGGCTAAAACAAGCCGCTCGTGTTTGGAATCAGCGGATCGATAAGGTGTTGAAGTTCATGGGGTTCCATCAATCAAAGGCTGACCCGTGCCTCTACATAAAGGACACAGCAGGTACGTACACTTTCCTTTTGATTTACGTCGACGATATTATCGTAATTTGCGTGACTGAGGAAGAATTGGCTAATATCGCTAACGCCCTGAACGGACAGTTTAAAATCACTGTGACGGGAGACCTCAAGTTTTTCCTCGGGATCCAAGTTCGGCAGGAGACCGGCCAATATCGCGTCAATCAAAGGGCGTACTTGAGTCGTCTTTTGGAAAGATTCGGGATGAGCGAGGCCAAAACATCGAAAGTGCCTATGGATCCTGGTTTTCTCCAACAAAAGGAGGAGACGAGTAAGAGACTTGAATCCGTTGAACAATATCAAAGTCTCATTGGAGCTTTGTTGTACGTAGCCGTGAGTACTAGACCAGACATTTCGATTGCAGCCTCGATCTTGGGACGACGCGTTCAAGCGCCAACCGAAGGCGATTGGAATGAGGCTAAACGTGTATTGCGATATCTTAAGAACATGATCGACTTGGAGCTCTGCCTTGGGTGTGACAATACGCAACTGGAGTGCTTTGTTGACGCGGATTGGGCCGGTGATGTGTCCGACCGCAAATCAAGTTCCGGATACCTCTTCTAGTTTCACGGTGGCGTTATTGGATGGGGCTGTCGTAAGCAGAAGTGCGTCGCTATGTCAAGTACCGAGGCCGAATACATCGCACTAGCGGAGTGCCTCCAAGAATTACAATGGATTCGCAAGCTTATGGAAGACGTCGGAGAACAACTGGATTACCCGATACCTGTCAAGGAAGACAATCAAAGCTGCATCGCCTTGACGAGAAGAAATCCAAGCATATAGATACGAAGTACAGCTTTGCAAAGGATCTGGTTCAGGAAGGCATCGTGCAGCTGCAATACTGCCCTACTGAATATATGGAAGCAGACTTACTGACCAAACCATTACAGACAGTTAGGTTGAAGAATCTACGAAGGGCGATTAGTGTCAAACCGATCAATGTGGAGGAGGAATGTTGAACCCCCAGGTTCGACTTACAGCATTTACTTCACTGCGAATGCCGATCAGGCAACACTTCCCATTTGACAGTTGTTCAGTTCCACTGTAAACCGAAGACGACAATAAAATTCATCCCTTCTTGTTTCGAGCTAGAGAACACTAGAACTGTGTCTGCTAACAGCGAGATCCGTCCGTGTATCGGTGAGTGTGCGTGGGGTATTTTTCTCCTAACATTTCAGCTACAGTCTTTTTCATAGCCACGGAATTGTCTCCGGCTTTGAACCTGTCCTTAATCCGGCTTTCGATTTTCGGTAATGGTGTTTGCCAGCATTTGTCTCCAAGCCAGTGGACCCTGGCCACTGGGAGGAGATCTTCGTTGGCAGTCGTGCGGAGGAGTCTGTTCCCCTCGTCGAGGAGGAAGATCCCTTAATTTCCGGATGTCTTCGAGATGAAAGCAGAGATAATCCTGACGTAGGTGTTGTAGACTGGTGCTAACGTAGCTAAAAGCTTATCCGTTGCGATGCAGGTCATCTCCAACCCGTATAGAAAGCGACTGTCGGTAATTGCACTGGCCACGTAAAAACGGATGCTGCGGTTGTTTGATCTATTCTGTCGGTAAATGGTCCGGATGAGATTCACTAGACTGCGGCAATTTTTCTTGACTGCAGTGAAATGCTGTTCAAAGTTGAGGAATCCAACTCCCAGAACTCGGACGGTCTTCTTCAGCGGTATGTACTCGTATGTATGGAGGTCGTCGATTTTGATCGGTGGTCCGCTAATTCTGTGTCGAGAAGGGCAGACATGACACCTGATGCTTTTAGAGACTGATAATTCAAAGCCTACTGGCCCACCTGGCGACGGCGGAGACTGCCACTTGGGCTCTCATCCGTGTACGTACTGGTGGTTGACGGAAGACTCTGTTCATCGCCACGAGGAACAGGATAACGGCGATGGGACACCCGTTTCCTCGGGGAAAAGCCGGGATTTGGTGTTACCGACTGCGACTCGGAATGAGCGGTTGGACAAGAAGTTCTGGATGAAGTGAACGATGGGTCCGTTAAGACCCCAGTAGATTAGTTGCTTAAGGACGAGGGGCGACCACGTTCTGTTGAAGGCCTTCGATATGTCGAGTGATAATATCTCGGTGTGCAGACCACTGCCGTAGACGTTCTTGAGAACTTCCCCTAGGGTTGCGAAATAGGTGGACGTTCCGAAACCTTGTCGGAAAGCGTGCTGTCGGTGATCAAGAAAATTTCCAGCTTAGAGGTGTTGCTTCAGTCTTCGATTGACCATACAACATGTTAGCGCTATTGAACGGAACTTGCTGACTTCACGGGTGGCTACCGCGGCTTTCGGGATGGGAACTACCAAGCTTTCCTTCCATACTGCTGGGTACCCGTTAGTGAGCCAGAGCTTGTTGAAAAGGTCTAGCATCCGTAGCTGTCCTGGTACCGGTAGCCTCTTGAGTAGAGGATATCCGATTTCGTCGGGTCCCGCCGACTCCCCGTTGCTGCACCGAAGGGCATGCTGCAGTTCCTACCAAGAGAAAGCTTGGTTTATACCGGTACTGGCGGTGTCGGGGGGTACTATGAAGTCTGCGATGGATGCGGTCGATGGCTTGGTTTTCTGCTTGAACTTGTTGTCATACTTGTCAATGGTTGCGAGCTCGGCGAAGTAGGTACCGAGTTCATCAGCTACCGTTTCCGGATCGGAAACCGTGGAATCATTTACCTGGACGTGAAGTGGTGTCGTGCGTCGTTTCCCACTAAGGGCGTTGATTCGCTGCCACAGATCGGTCAAGGATTGCGATGCGTTCATCCCTTCCAGGAACTCCATCCAGGATCGCTTGGCATGACGGATTTCTTGTCGGCATTGGTTGTGTAGTTCACGGTTGTGACAAAGGGTCCGTGGTGGTGTCCGATGGGGAGCCGCTTTACACGTCGAAGTGCCTTGCGCCGGGTTTTGACTGCCTTCTTCGTATCTTCATTTCACCAGCGGAGGGCTTTGGTGGCCGTTGCTGCTTCGTATATGGCGTCCGAGAGGTCCTCGATACTGTCCGGGTTCCGCTGTAGTAGTAGAGTCTCCAATGTGGAGCCGTAGCTTTCCCAGTCCGTTTGTTCATACCGCCATCGCGGCCCGTGTTACCGCCGGGACGAAGGTCGCCGAGAGTTGAATTTGTATGGGGTAGTGGTCACTACCGTCCAGGTAACTAACTAACGTTCCACTGCATTTTACCAGCGATATGGCGACTGGCGGTTGTTACTTCGATAGCGGATGTGTATCTCCAGTTGAAATACGTTGGAGCACCATCGTTTAAGATTAACATATCTTCCTTCTCGAATATGTCCACGAAGGTCCGACCGAGGGCAACCCCAAATTGAGTGGTGCGCGTTGACGTCCGTGGATGCGTGGTACAGATTCATTAGGGTCTCGCTGCAAATAAATGCAGGCAACGGTGATGTTGACTGGTTCTGTAAGTTGTATGGGTAATTGTGAGTCCAAGTCGATAACCCGGAAAGGTACCGTGTTTAGTACCCCAATGGTTACGGAGCGTCGGAAATTTCTACCGCTTTTCTTTGTCCAGCTGTATCGTCCGAAGAGGAAGCGGTTCATCTGTTCGACGGAGGCTTTGTTTACCTCCTGCAATGCGATGACCCAGGGGGTATCAGCTTGGTATAGACGTTCGAGGTCTCCAATCCGCTGCAGGAAGCCGTTATCGTTCCATTGGAGTATTAAGTTGGCCGACTTGGGCAAGGCCGGTGTGTTAGCACTTTGCTGTTGCTTGCATCTTCCAGAGATGCTGCGACTTTCTTTGTTCCCGCGAAATCCTTCGGGGAATGGGCTGAATTTCCCTTGTCCGTCCCGATACTGGAGCTATCCTTTCTTCCCTCGTCGTCCACAGGGTAACAACAAATTAACGAGGCCTTGATCATAATTATTTTGTGAAATGAGGAGCTTGGTGGCCTAGTGGCGATCGATTTTGCTTACTGAGCAGAAGACCGTGGGTTCAAACCCACAAACACCATGAGGATGATTGCTAATTCCAAGCAACGTCTATTGGTTCGCTGTGTAATTACAGCTGATCTGGCAATAACGGAGTAGCATCTGCGGGCGGTCAATCATGCCCATGCTCATGTAATAAGGCGTAAAGTGATAATAACCAATGTATGTTAAGGATTGTTAACGTGTAAGTATGTATACAATTTTATATATCTATTGCAATTGATCCGAAATATAGCCCTTTTTACAAAAGTAAGCGGTATATGGAGCATGAGCAAAAACTGATTGTGTTCATTGGATGGTATTTCACTAGAATTGTCTTTGTAAATGTTAGTTAGGCTCTGGGAAATTTAAAAACCAAACCCAACTGTTGATCTGCTTTTCATATCCGTTAAGTTAACAACGATTCGGGCTTCGCTCAATCACACCACACTGACTAACCACCCCGTTTTCTCTCCTTTGAAGGTACCTGGCTCAAAGAAGACTGTCTCTTACCTGTTGTAAGAACGATGTACGTTCAACTGTTAAGCAAACAAAAACAAAAGTAAATAAATCCAATCTTAAGATGCGATTCGGCAGAAGAAAAATAACCAAAGTTAAAATGCAGTAATCTCGTTGGAAAATATACCCTAAATGGAACACGACAGTGTCGTAAATGTAAACGTGGACACCTGTTGACTTTTTTGTGTACAGAATAAATCCGTTTGCAGCAGAGAGAAAAAAATACGGACACACTTGTTGTTGCTCTGCTGTGTGAAGCAATTTATATCAAGTTAAAACAAAATGTAAACCTTGCAAAAAGAAGGAGGTCAAAGTTCAATATCAAAAGAAAGGAAAAGAAAAGTCAGCTGTGTGAATGTTTAAAATAAGAAGAATATAGGTGTTTGTTGATATTACATGGAAAATGGGTTGGGGTACAAACAAAATATCGTAGCAATTGTGTAAAGAAAATCTCGAATAATTTAGTGTTAGTGTTCAAAAAACAGAAAAAAAAAAACAAATCAGATGTTAGCATTATCGACGGGGGAGAAACAAAGATATTCTAAATAGGTATTTGTTACACTCATATTACGAGCCACGTTATTAAGGTTGTTGATTTTTGAATGAGATAATAGAGAGGCAATGTAAGAGCAAATCAGATTCACTGACACCCACACACTCACTCACTCAATTTCCAACTAAAGAATTTGGTTTTATTCGTTATTTACCTACCTAAATACCTACAAACCAAACATGATGTTGAATACAGGTTGCGTCTACTGATTTTTTCATCGGACCCATGTTGATATTACTGTTACGATTCTCATATTGAATTTGATCGAATTTATTACGTCGGAAGAGTGTCATCTCAAACCTAAGTTTGAATCCTAAGGAAAGCCGGTAAATGCTTTCGATGTGGCTACCAAAGCGACGAGTATGTTAAACCCATGACGCCCAACGTGTTTACTTGCGAGAAGATCTCCCTCAATCAAAGCAGAATCATTGTTAGAGCGAAGCAACAAGAACAAAACTAATTAATTAATTTAAACAAATGCTAAATGGACAATCCTAGTAGGATCGAAGCAAACTCTGAAAATAATCTCACAAACGCATACAAAAGCATACTTTGATGTTGTTAAAAAAAAAAACAAAAAGTGAACCAAAACTAAAAATATCAATCTAAAGAAAGCATTGCTTTTCCTGAAAACAAACAGGAATTAAACTAAAAAAGTAAAACAAAAAGCATTAGAACAACCAAACAAACGTGATGTTCCTCACAGGAAGCGCAAAGCAGAAGTAAACTGAAGAACAAAGTGTTGTCATTGAAAACAACACAAAAGTAGAAAATTGTGAAATGCTTTACACACACACATACACATTGGTAAAAAAACGACAACTACAACCACAATAAACGAAAGCATTAAAAGTGAAAACAAGAGAGATATAATGTAAGACGAAACAAACGGAAGAAGGGTAAATTACACGAGCAGAACGATCTGGTGACCAAGAGGAGGGCACACAGAAACAACAATGGAAAAAGAGAAACTCTTAGAAACTAAATGGCTGTTTTACTATATACATATTTTCGGAAACAAAACAGAAAAGAGAAAAAAATACAAATGGTTCTGGTAACAAATAAGCAAACAAACAAACAAAAAAAGGAAGAGAAATTTAGTATTATTGTGGATTATTATTGCTAGAAAAAAAGGCAAACTGAGGGTAAAGAAGCGAAAACTGATGTATCAAAAAGTAATTGTTAAAAAAATGTGTGCAATAAAAGCAGAACATACTAGTGAAGGAAGTGTTGATTATTAAATGTCCAAAATGTCCATCTACCCTTTACACAAAAATCATCCTCTGATCGAATGAAACCTCAGACCATTCGCATCGAAATGTCGAAGGTCCCGAAGAAACGTGCTCAAGTAAACAAAGCAGAACTGCTTCGATCATTCGGAAGAAAACAATTAGTGAGAGTGTAAAAGAATAAAGAAGACCAATCACCCGAGCCTGGTGCATTCAGCAGTGGTGGAGCGAACATCGTCCACTCACCGATCGCTCAAAAAAAGAAGGATCAGAAAATGCATAAGCAACAACTGGGAGCAAGGTTGAATACGTTCTCCGTGAGAAGGGATGCCGTGATCGCGAAAATGCAGGAGTAACTGTGTGCCATTCATAGCTCTGGGACAGCCTGCAATCGTCAACTAAGTACCCAGATTACCTCACGTCCCGTTACCATCTTTTGATGGGACGTACGAAAGGTGGTTTCGTTTCAAGCAGCTGTTTCAAGATTTGATGCTGAAGTATCCGGGCTTGTCGGACGCAACAAAGCTACACTACCTGACGCACTCGCTGAAAGGAAAAGCGGCGGAGCAAATCCTCAAGAGTTTCGAGAACAAGCGCACAATCCTTGACTTACACACGAATGGAATCATAAACCTCCCGAAAATGGAGAATGAAAGTGCGGCAGAGTTAAGAAAGCTTGTGGATGAATGCAGCCGGCACGTTGAAGACTTGGAGTTCCACGACAAGAAGATGCTGGGAATTTCCGAGAATTTGATGATTTCCCTACTGACGTCGAAGCTTGATCATGCGACGCTAAATCAGTGGGAAAATACCATCAAGCACAAGGAAATCCCGAAATACAAAGAAACGATCCAGTTTCTTCGAGGTAGATGTTTCACTCTCGAACGTTGTGAAGCAAATGCAGCGAAAAAGCCTGTCGAAACATGGAAACATGGAAGGTCATTGGTTCCCAAACCGAAGCCTACCGTGAAAGTGCATGCAGCACAACAGGAAATTGAGGAAACGTGTGGAATTTGCGACGACTCACACAGCGTCAACAACTGCAACGTCTTGAAGCAGATGCCCATGTCCAAGCGTGTGGAGAAGGTCAAGGAAAAACAGTTGTGTTTTAACTGCCTTAAACGAGGACATCGAGTCAGTCAGTGCAGATCTAGGGCTTGTACCATCAGCGGTTGCGGTGCATTTCGTGATCCTTTCGACAGCCGTCGTCGAAGTTGAAGACGCTAGAGAAGCCTATCAGCGTTTGAGAGTTCTTCTCGATTCCGGCTCGCAGTCGAACGTCATGTCCGAACATGCTTTGAACGTTTTGCGTCTCAAGTGTAAGGCAGTCATGATCCCTATCGCTGGCATCAACGGTGAGAGATGCGCAGCAACCTATCAGACGATTGCGAAAGTCAAATCTACACAACATGATGCAGCATGGGTTTTGGAATTCCTAGTCGTGCCACAAGTAACAGGAATTCTTCCAGGACGCAGGATCGACTTACGTCAATGGCATATTCCACCTCAAGTTAAACTGGCAGATCCAAGGTTTCACGTGCCTGCTAAGGTGAATATGCTCATCGGAGCGGATCTATTCTATGGTCTGCTTCTAACAGAACGACTGAAAACAGGATTAACCTACGCTTAGGAGCACCGAGCTTGGTTGGATCGTATGTGGCTCGTATCCCAGCGTTCAGAAGCCAACAGTGGTAGCAGCCTTTGGACAAGGGGAAGAAACTCTGGACAGCATTGTGCGAAGATTTTGGGAACAAGAAGAAGTGTGTGGTGAGCCATCAATCACTGAATCAACGTCGAGTCAACGGACGCTTTGTCGTGCGACTTCCGTTACGGTCTTCCGTTGAACAACTTAACGGTTCCAGATCGTTGGCGGAGAAGCGGTTTGTGCAGCTTGAAAGGCGGCTTCCAACATCCAGAGTTGAAGGAGCAGTATACAGCATTTATCAAGGAGTACATTGAGCTGGAGCACAGCGAGAAGCTACGTGAAGGATTCTGTCTACCCCATCATTCAGTATTGAAACCACAAAACCACAAAACTACGCGTGGTGTTTACGGCGTCAGCGTAGTCGGAAGGCCTGTCGCTTAGCGATGTGCTGATTGCAGGACCGGTACTCCAGGATTCGTTGGTAGCCATTGTGATGCGCTCAAGAAAATATCGGTTTGTGTTCAGGCTAACGTTATCAAAATGTTTCGCCAGGTTTGGGTCTGCGATTTGGATAGGAATTTCAAGTTCTATTGGCCAACAATCGCACGCATAAGCGTAAGTGTTGAAAACAGTCACGTATGGTACATCATGTGCTCCATTCTGTGCTACTATTTGTCTGAAACAACTGGCTGACGATGAAGATAAGGATTTCCCGATTACGGCAGAAGTGGTACGAAAGGACTTTTATATGGGCCGTCCTGTCTGGGGCCGACGAGATTGAGCAAGTTCAGGAATGTCAACAGCAGCTGATTGCATTGCTACAGCGCGGAGGCTTCCATTTGCATAAGTGGTGTGCAAACTCCACAGAACTCCTCGTCCTCGCATTCCTCTCAAGGACCGAGAACAACAAGCTAAAATCGAAGAGCACACAACAATCGGAGTCAGAATTGCGGAAGATGACGCCATTACATTCGAAATACACGGGTTCTCGGATGCAAGCAAGGCAGCGTACGGAGCGTGCGTATATCAACGATGCCTGAAGACGAACGGCAGTACATTAATGCATTTGTTGAGCAGCAAGACCCGCGTTGCATCGTTACCAAAAAAAAAACACGACAGCAAGAAGAAGATGAAACCATTCACGATTCCCCGAGGTGAACTTATCGGTGCGCTGCTGTTAGCGAGGCTTGTAACTTCGGTCATCAAGTATTTGGATATGAAGATAAAGGGGGTCGTCCTTTGGTGTTATTCGCAGATAGTTCTTTGCTGGCTTGAAAAGCCAGCTCTGGGTCTAGGAATTTTCGTTGGTACCAGAGTTCGTGAGATCCAAGAGCTGACGCAACAATGGGAATGGCGATATATCGAGTCCGAGAACAACCCTGCAGATATCGCTTCCCGTGGGATTCCAGCTACTAGACTGCAGAATGCAAGCATCTGGTGGTATGGCTCAATGCTGCATAGTGAGTATATCTACAACAACATCACCAATGGTACGTTCACGTATGAAGAGTTAGAGCTACACAACAATGCTGCCACATGTTCCTTTGTATCCATTCATCAGGAATGTGAGCTGCTTACACGTTACAGCAATTTCCGGTAGCTTCAGCGAATCTGGACCTACATTTACCGATTTGTCAACAACTGCCGTCAAAGACAACAAACAGATCGAAATGTTGGAGTGCTTACAATTCATGAGTTGCACAAGTGCAAAGAGAAGGTTTAGCTGATGAAATACGAATGCTGGAGAATAATCGAGTGAGAAACGAGAAGATGAATACAGTACTGGTGAGGATCGAAGGAGTACTAAATTCAAGACCGCTAGCACAGCTCTCTGAAGATCCAAACGATATCTCGGCGTTGACTCCAGCCCATTTCTTAGTGGATCTTGAGCTGACTGCAGTACCAAAACCAAGCTACAGCTGAGTGAAGACGTCTTCCTTTTTCCGATGGCAACATCTGCAGAAACATAAACAGGACTTTTGGAACAGATGGTTGAATGAGTACCTGAACCAACTTCAACCTCGTGGAAAGCGGTGCAAGAATAAGGTGTTGATCAAGAAGGGTATCCAGGTAGTGATCAGAGAGGACAACATGGCTCCACTTCAATGGCGGCTTGGTCGCATCATACAAACAGGGAAGGATGTTAACGATAATACCCCTTGATTGCTCCCTACTACCCCGATGCGCTATCAGCGCTACTGTGGTTATATCAAGCAAACGGCAATAACATTGCTTGTAATCGACGACAAAATAAATAGCAAAGTACGGTAAAACACGCGAACCGTCGTTTTACTTGTTAGTTTGTAACAGTTCTATCATTTGAGTTATCTTTCAGGTGTGGTATTTTTAATTAGGGTGGCTGGGAGATTTCGATGTTGATGGCTTACCTGTTGGTGGATTGGAGTTCGTTGCACCAGTCTCGAAGAATTCGTCGCGGTCTAAACTGTCATCCTGATGCTGTTCAATCAATTTCGTATTCTGTTGTGCAGCGTTATGCTGTGCTGAAGTACGCCACATGGGTTCGAAGTCATACACCAGGATGTCCAATTGAGTTGGTGTTGATACCGGCTTGAGTATATGATCGCATCTAGGTCGAAGCTGGTTCACGTGTGACCGAATAAGCTTCCTCCGACCTGACTGGTAATCGAGCAGAACGTTGAAAATGACTCCTCCAATTGCTTTAAGGACAGTGCCGGAAGCCCATTTCCATTTGTTCGTATTCTGATACAGCTTCGCGTAGACTGTGGAACCCGAGGTAAACTTTGGACTCTGTTCATCGGACGTACTGTTGAACGCTGATGGCCGTACTTTTGACAGAGTGAAAACTAAATACACCTTTACTGTTTGGTGGTTGTCAAAGGAATGAAAGTTTTATTTTCTAGACTTGATACAATCGTATATTCATAGATTGCTGTGATCAATTGTACTTCTAACACCCCGATCCCGCCTCAATGGATTATTCCCAGCATTATCCGCAGTTTTGCAAATCTAGGAGCAGGAAGCCCTTTTGTCATTATGTCGCATTCGTCCCGACAACACGTCTCGGTTAATCTTCAATCCCAGGAACATCTTCGCTTCGCCCATGTCCTGCATCGAGAACTCCGACTTCAGCAGCTTCTTGATGGTACCGACGACACCCAAGGAACGAGAGACGACGAGGATATCATCGACATACAGCAGCAGGAACACCTTCTCACCATCACGCTCACATACGTACAGGCAGCTGTCACTCTCGGACCTGCGAAGGCCGATCCGGGTTGCAAACTCGTGAAAATAGTCGTTCCACGCCTTCGATTCCTGCTTCAAACCGTAGATGGATTTGTTTAGCTTACAGACTCGATCCCCCTCCTCAAATCCTGGAGGTTGGCGCATGTAGATCTTCTCCGAGAGATGACCGTTCAAGAACGCCGTCCGGACGTCCATCTGGTGGATCAGCAAATTCTCCTGGTTTGCCAATCCCAGCACCATTCGAACCGACGACATCTTCACCACCGGAGCGTAGGTTTCAGAGTAATCATATCCATACCGCTGCGTGAATGTCACTGTCACCAGCTGCTGGAACGATTTCGGCATGGTTTGCAGCAAATTGAACACCACCAGCCGCTCGTGCTTTTGCGTACTTCACTTTCAGCAGGATCTCCACCAGCAGGTTCATCAATTAACGTATCACCTAGTTCATCTATCGGCGATAGCTACAAGATCTTTGTTGTTCTCTAACGAACTGCTTCTTCTGTTGTTCGCGTAGCTTCTGGAACTCCGGGCAGACACAGAGCACGTGTTCCACCGAGGCGGGAATGCTGCAAATTGAACAAACCTTGCGGAAAGGTGTCCCACCGAAAAATCCTCCCATGACCGGTCCGGAGTTTATTGTTTATTGTTGCCATACATCAACAGGCTGGCTGTAGCCCAAATGATGTTAATAATACTAATCATAAAAATAATAATAGTAAAATTACATGTCAAATAATCACAGAAAGAAAAACAAAGCAACATGGTCAGAATGTAAAAAAAAAACATAAATGGAAATACACTAATTTTCTCTGTCAGTCACTGCGGCCGGCGAAAACAGATGAGAATCTCCGACGAAGCGCATCACGTGTGAGGTGAAAGTCGAATACAGATGCGACTCTATTGAACACACGCTGTAGTCCACAAATCGCACCATATGCCCCGTAGTTCGTGCGACGCAGTGGCAGTCTCAGCATGAGGTTGTTACGGAGTGGTCGGGGTTGCACGTTTAGGTCAATTTGCCTTAGGATAGCCTCACAATCTATTCGTCCCTGTAGAGTGTCGGCGATAATCAAAGCTCTGTTGGTGTCCCTTCTAATCCGGAGAGGTTCAAGGTTTATCAGTTGGCAGCGACTCTCGTAGCTGGGCAGCCGAAGCGCAGTCTACGAAGCGCAAAACGAAGAAAGCGACGTTGAACAGATTCGATTCTCTCGGCACCATTGTTGTAATTCGGATTCCAAACCGCAGAACAATACTCAAGCGTCGATTGTACGAGGGAGCAGTAAAGAGATTTTAAGCAGTAGACATCGGTGAAATTCTTAGCTATCCTGAAGATGAATCCTAA